CAATGGATGACTATGAGAGAAGCAATTTCATGTCCTCATCACATGGTCATAATTTCTAATTAAAAGTTTCAGAGTTTTAATTTATATTCAAATAATATGAGATTATTTGAAAGTGGGTACTTATTTTATACAATAAGGTTTTTAGCATGTGATTTTAATGGAAATAATAAACATCTAATGTTAAAAAAATTCAATCTTTAAGAGAGTGTCAAGTAACAGGTCACATAAACATGAACATGTTTCATGTTCTTATTTTTCCCCCAATAGTTCATTAGGGCACTTGAAAACCCTTAATAGGACTTAAAAAGCAAATCTAATCTACACTAAAATAAACGTACTTAAAAACACTTTTAGGAAATTATAGTCTTATATGTCATTTCCCCCATTTTTTAAATTATAGAATGAGAAAGTTGTTATTTTGGGGAAATTATTAGCTTTAATACATAAAATGAAACAACACTAAATAATGCAGCTTAACGTTTAAAGTCACACATTTAATACCAAATGATATCTTTTTGGAAAAAATATTAATTTAAAAAGTCCCAAGCTATTAAAGTAAACCCTTTAGAATTACTTTGTTTCATTTTTATTGGAGTGATTTAGAAGTTTAAAAGAAAACTACTGTTCACTGAACATTGAATTAAAAATGGATTAACTTCTATCTTCCTCCCTGATTCTGTAAGGAGATAACTGACAGTTAATATTTTCTATTTATAGATTATTAATGTTTTAAGCCTATATTCAACTTTCTAGCACTTCAGAGAAATTTTTGTCTTTCCTCAGTGAAAACTGGATATATTCTCAAATGAAGGACAAGCCAACAATACTGAGGAACCAAAGATTTCAAATAAATAAACAATCAAATGGAAAAGTAAATTCAGGATCACATATGCAAGTACATTTAACAGTGGGATACAAGCCAGGCACAATTCAGTTTAGGTAGCACATGATCTGACAAACACACGTATCCTTATGTAGACAGCTGGCCAGAATATTTTAGAGCACAGCTGCCCATAAAATGAAACCCACACGAATGCTGTAGGCACACTGCTTGTTTAATCCATTTTCTGATCTTAAAATCTGTAAATCTGCATTTCTGTATATTGAGTTTCTATTAGGAGGCATACTTCATTAACTCTGGAGCCAAATAGCCAGGGTTCAAATCCCTGGTCTGTCACTTACTAACTGTGTGACTTCAGGCTAGTTACTTAACCATTCTGTACCTTAATTTTCCCATCCATAAAATGGGCACAATAATGGTTCTAACTCAGAGTTGTTGGAAAAGGTAAATGGGTTATTATATACAAAATCTTAAAATAGTACTTGGCACATAGTAAGCACTATATATATGAGTGTTTGCTACTATTATCATAATTATTTTTCTTACTACTTCTACCTAAATTTAATGAAGCTTTAGAGCTGTTATTAAAGAATCAAAATGATAGTGAACATTTCTACAAATATAATCTGTATTTCCCAAGGCACAGTAATTTGGGCCTAAAATAGAGTCTTGCAATAAAAGTTACATAGTAGGCAAGCAAAGAAGTAGAAAGTTTAGTTATTTTCTTGCTTTGAATTCTACCTTTACCTCTAACTTATTGTGAACTGGATAATTTACCTATTCAACCTCCCTAAGCTTGTAGAAGGAGAATAATAATACGTTCCTGACAAGATACTCAATAATTGAGTAAGATAATAAATGTGAGGTACCTGACAGATGGCCTAATGTACATGGACCTTAACTCTACTTTCAAGAACTCAACTGTTTCTTGCAGCTCCATGTGGAGCCCTCTTTTCCTCCTTTCTGGCTCCTTGCCACCTTCAACAGTCTTACACTGCTGCCTAATGAAACCAAACACCAAGAAGTAGACCCAGGATAATTACCAGCTGAAAACTAGTGTGTAAACATATGGTTGGTAATGTAGTATGTATTATAACACTATATTTAAAAGGTTTAACAGTCTATATTTTTTAGAAATGTACACTAAAGTATGCATGGGTCAAGGCGATATATGGGATTTGTTTTTTTTTTTTGTTTGTTTGTGTTTGTTTTTTGGGGGGATTTGTTTTTTAAATACTTTAGCAAAAGGAGAAAAGAGGAATAAAGGACACATAAAATGAATATGGCAAAATTTATATTGTTTAATTAGGATGACAGGTCCATGAGGAATTATAAAATTATTCCCTCTAGTGTATATAGTGTATAGTGCATTTGAACTTCATACATAATTTTAAAAATTGAAAAACAAATGTAAAACCTTACATTTCCAGAAGTAATACCTATGGCTCATTAGCTACCAGGCATATCAGACTTGTCTAATATTCTAGACATTTCATCCCATTTCCAAAAGAGTCCAAGTTAGACCTGGTCATAAATTTCACTGAATCCTTCGTTCGCTCTAGTTCAGCAGAATATGCCACATCATTTTCAAGCAGATATTTGTCAAACCTTCCTTAGGTTAGGAAATTGTCATCTTTCCTACCATCACCATACAGACACTTTTATACCAGATACTCATATATCAATGTTTCTAAAAGTGAGGCCACAAGATACATCTAACGAATCTCTACAATATTATGCCAAGTGAAAGAAGCCAGACACAAAACACAACATCTCATATGATTCCATTTATGTGGCAAGTCCAGAAAGGGCAAGCCTATAGAAACGGGCAGGAGTTAATTATTCCTGGGACTGGAAGTGGAATGGGCATTCACCATGCATGGCATGAGCGATCTTATTGGGATGATGGAAATGTGTTACAGCTGCATCATGGGGATGATTGCACAACTTGGTAAAGTGACTAATTCAACTAAGCAGATGAATTCTATGGTATATAATTATACCTTTTTTTTTTTTAAAGGGATATGGCTAGGTGGATCATAAACTTTTAAAAAATCATGTAAAGCATTTTGTAGTTTAGCAGAACTGTAGCCCATCAAGTTGTGATTTCACAGCAATTACATAAACTTTTAAAGTAAATGTTTACATCTGAAACTAATACAGAATAATATTAAATGTAAATGGTAATTTAAAACAGTAAAAATAAATAAAAAAACAAAATAATAAAATGAAATACAAATGTAAGTTAAAACAGGTGAGTTAATTTAAATAAATTATTTTAACTAATTAATCCACATAACTAAGTCAAATAAAAAATGATGATACTAACAAACTGGAAGTTCTGGTAAATACTGGTCTGGGTCATTGATTCTTAGGTGATAAAACTCCAGTTGTGTTTGTGTGTGTGCGTGCGCGCTCAGGTGCATATTTTAATCTCTCAGGATCAGATATAAAGATTAAATGGGATTATGTTGATGAAAATGCTCTATAAATTGCCAATGCTGTACCAACAAAGAAAAAGAAATGGTCTGCCTAAGTCGCTTTTATTTTAATATAAAAGATATCCTAACTAGGCTATGACAGATAAGTGACTCTCAGGTGGAGCAGGAGTTAATTAACCGGTTACCCAGCTTCCTTCCTCTGGGGTTTCAACTTCTCTGATGGTTTCTTCCTCCGACAAACATTATGAATGCCTACCATTAGTTGGTAGGTCCTTATTCTTGATCCTCAAGAGGTGCCCAGCTGTCCTCCTCCTCCTCTCCCTCTTCTCCCAAACCAAGGTGCTCACTGTAACAACGTCCTTCCTGATTGGCATGGGGCACCCCCTAGCCCGTTCCTGGTTGTACTTGGCACTGGTGAAATGAATGGGCATTTTTGAGGCTTTCCCAAGTATTAAGGGAGAACTCCCCTCACACAATAGTACAGTCAACCTTCTTTTTTTTAAAAAAAATCTTTATTGTTGAAAGTATTACCTATGTCCCCTTTTTCCTCCCAGTGACCCCTTATAGACCCCCCCACCCCCACCCCGCCACACACACACACCAGGCCTCCACCACTCTGTCTGTGTCCGTGGATCAGGCATACAAGTTCTCTGGTCGATCTCTTCCCACCCACCCCGCCTTTCCTCTCAGATTCATATGGTCAACCCTTTTGAACTACAGATTGGAAGACAGGGAAAAAAACCCAACAAACCAAACCCCTCTCATTACCATCCTATTTCATTTCCTAAACTCCTTTCCCTTACACCCCTTTTTCTTTCCAAGGAAGCGTGTCTCTCCCACCTCTCAAGACAACAATCAGTGACATTCAAGCGCTCAGTGGCATTTCAGTCCCATGCCCAGAAGAACAAAGCAGCCTCTATATTCTAAGTCCTCATCCCCATAGAAACCCGGAGCACCCTCTTTCCTGGGATCCCACACGGCCACGGGCGGCTTGTTTTCAGCCAAGGGGTGGTAGCGTTGTTTTCACTGTTGCTATTACTATTCTGACGTCATTCGGCTAATTAATAAATCTAGGAACACTTGGTGGTGGTATCTAAACGTTTTGCTAAGTTCTCTATACTGTAGCTATCAGCCACAGTTAAGGACATGGGGAAAAAAACACACCAAGCAGGTCAGGGCCCAGGTCTCCCTGCCTCCCGGGTGCAGTGCTCGCCCAGGGTTTTGTTTCATCTCCTGCAATTCCAGGGGGTAAGCGAGGCAGATACTACGACTCCTTGCGCCGAAGGTAGAAGGGACGGCTGGCTTAGCTGACGACAGGGCCTCAACTGACACCTGTCCTGACGGAACTAAGTGACTCTCTCTGTTCATTCCAAATTCTTAATGGCTTTACCCCGTTAGGCCAGTGCGAAGCGCCGGCCGACCCCAGGAACTGACTTCCGGGTGGGGGGAGGGGCGGTTGGCCCTTGCGGGTGTGCGCTTCCCTCCCACCGAGCCCGGGTTGCTTTGTGCTTTAACTCCGCCCAGTTGTGGTGTTTTGGGGGTAGCTCGCTTGCAGGGGTCCGCTTGAAAGTTTTCTTGGCTAGTTTCGCGGATTCACCCAGCTACCGAGCACACGACGGACACGGAAAAGGAAAATAATAAAACGCAAAGCACGTGGCCTTCCGGATCTCACTTTTCTTGGCCCCTCTCCCGACCCGTAGCCGCGCCTTGTTACGACTGCGTGGGCGACTCGTCTATAAAAGCCGGGCTCGGCGCGTCCCGTCGCCACAGTGGCTTCCTGTTGTCTTTCTGTCCGTGCGGAGTTGTAGTCTCGCCAGGAATCCCTGTGGCCGTGAAGATGGCGTCTACCAGCCGGTTAGTATGACCGCCCGATCCCGGCTAGTCGAGGGCTGGCGGGGACCCCGTGCCCGGCGGCCGCGGGGCTGCCGCGCCGGGTAGGGCGCCCAGGAGATGCGGGCGGCGGCTGCGGCCGCACCGGCCGCCCGACCGGACAAAGGCGCTTCCCGGCGGCGGGCTGTCAGGGGCGTCGCTGGGGCTGCCGAGCGGCCGGCGTTCCCGCCCCAGGGTCTGAGATCGCCATCTCACCCGGGCTCCACCCTGTGGGGGCCCCTGGGTCCGCAGCCCCTAGCCTCTTGCCTTCTGCTGAGATTGCAAACGGCTGTTTTCCTTTCTTTATTGTTCCTTTTTTCCCTACGCTTGTTTTCCACCTACGGCTCGGGCGGCCCGAGGCCCGTGAGTCGTCCCTTCCAAAGAGCGGGAGAGGGCTAGTGCAGGTCCCCATCCAGCTGACAGCTGGAAAGTTAGGGACGTCGGTATTGGTGAGCCCGATGGAGTCTGATCGCCATCCCAGAGGCCCTCTGAATGGAGGTTAAGGCATTGCTGAAGATCCGATCAGTTCCCTTCTTAAGAGGCTTCTTTACAAATATCTTCTGTATTTTCCTGAAGAAAATCTTGCCTGCAGAAAATTATTTACAAATGCTGGGAAGTTACTCTAATGCAGCGGTTCTCAACCTGTGGGTCGCGACCCTTTCACAGGGGTCGCCTACGACTATCGGAAAACACATATATAATTACATATTGTGTTTGTGATTAATCACTATGCTTTAATTATGTTCAATTTGTAACGATGAAATTGGGGGTCACCACAACATGAGGAACTGTATTAAAGGGTCGCGGCATTAGGAAGGTTGAGAACCACTGCGTAGTGTATTTTAAAAATGCAAAATATTGTACTCACATGGACAGGAAAAGCATGTAGTGCCCGTAGAGACAGCCTTTAATCCTGTGACCTGAAAAAGGCTTGCAGACCTTAATTATATCTCTCCTTACCACTATGAGGTAGATACTCGTATTTTTGCATGAGTGTAAATTGAGTCATGCCAATGCTGGCTTTTCCAAGTTGAGGGTTAGAACAGGCTGTAGTAAGGCATATATCTCTTTCTTATTCTCACACAGTTGGGTTTTAGTTAATTCATAATGTATTAACAGTAATTAAGTTCCTATAATTTCTGGAAGGCAACTCTGGCATAAATTTTTGAACCTGTTGTAATCTGTGGAATTGAGTTCCCAATGAAAGCCATTATCATAAGTAGTAAGCTAGAGAAGTCCGGGCCCTTTTTGGTAAACTGCCAAAACTTACTATTTTATGTTACTGTATTTTTTTAAAAATATGGGGAACAGTGAGGCAGCTTTAGCTAATGGCCTGTTTGGCAATAATTCTTAAAGTCAATGACACTCTTGTTTACTGATTCTAATTCTATGATTGAGTGCTCAATCATTCTATCTGGGCGTGGCTCTGTCAGGGAAGGCTTACTTGTAAGTAAATGGGAAACTTCAGCTTCCCAAAGACACCTAAATACAGCGTATGGTCTCTCATGGCAGTAGATCTGAAAGGTGCATGTGGGCATATTTGGGCACAGCTTTTACATATAAGAACAGGAAGATGTATTTGTATGAAATGTTACAGTATCAGTCTAGTAAATTCACTTGATAAATTTCTTACCCAAAAAGTACACTATACTTTGTATGCCTTGTTAAAAAAAAAGTTCGAAATAAATTTTTTCTGAACATGTCCAGCTCTATGTGTTAATGCATTGTTCAGCTTTTTGAGTTTTTCTTCCAGTGAGAACAAAGGTAAATGTTAGTATTTCTACCTTTTCACTGTTTTTAACTTGAGGAAGATACACAGTTAATAGGCTCTGAAACTGGCTGGTGTTTTCACAGAAAAGAGCACAAGTGTTCTGAGTTCAAATTTAAGCTCCACCACTTATTCTGTGATTTCGGGCAAATCATTCTCTGGGCATAATCTTTAAAGTGGAGATAATGCCCATCTTCAGGGTGGCTTTGAAGATTAATAATTATGTATAGCACTAGACCCACAGTAGGCACCCAGTAAGTTATAGCTATAAAATGAATTTGGGATTATCTGGCTTCTTAGGTAGTCACAATTGCTTTAGTGTTAGGGGTGATTGTTTACCACATTCCTTTCCTATTGTTTTTCCCCTTACTTCCCCTACAACCCCACTCTTGTAGTTTCTCCTTTGTATTACTCTTCAGGAAATTTGATTAAAAGTTGACTTACATGATTTCATTTTATTTTGGATAGATAACACATTACACATATTAAAAAGGCAAGAAAAGTGAAAAGTAGTCTGCCTTCTTCCCCAGCTTCCAGCCATCTAATTCTTCCCCAAAGCATTCATTGTAACCAGTTTCGTGCTTTCCCAGTGAGTCTCTGCTTTAGCAAATATATGCATACTAGAGGACCGGTGCACGAATTTGTGCACAGGTGGGGTCTGGCTGGCTCGCCCGATCGAGCTGGGCTGGGTTAGCCTCGGGGGGGGGGGGGGGGGGGGGGGGGAGCCCGGATGGTTAGTGGGCCAGCCCCGCTCCCTGGTCAAACTCCAGTCGAACTCCTGGTCAAGGAGACAATTTGCATATTACCCTTTTATTATATAGGATTATATAGGATAGTTCTAAGCCCTCCCACCACCCCCTGAAAAAGGAGTCTAATGTAAACACTGTGCCTTGCTTTTTACCTTTTTTATGAAGTTGGTGCACATGTTTTAAGTGCACAGGTCAATTAATAAGTGAGCATTTACGCAAAGCTACAACCCAGGTCAAGAAATCAAATACCACTAGCACCCTGGAAGCCTCCGTTGTGCCCATAGTCTTTACCACATCCTGATTTCTGACACCATAGATCTGTTTTGCCCACTTTAAGGTTTATATAAATGGCAAAAATATGTGTTCATGAGTAGTATTTTATATCAGCATTTTGATATTCATGTTATTGCATATAACTGTAGTTCATACTTTTCTCAATTTTGTATAAAATTCATACCTTTTTATAGTAAGCATATCTTTGTGATTTTTTATATCATATATATATAGATATATAAATAGATACACATACTACATGATACTGTTTCCCATCAGTCCTTTGTGTGATGTGTGCCACCTGACTGTCCACATTATGCATTTGTAATTACTGTTACTCTGCTAACGTTTTCCTTTATTTTAAAATAATTTTCCATAACTTGCTTTTTTAATATTTTATTTGTAATAATTTATGAAAATATTTTTCTATAGGAATTTCTGGAATAAGCATGAATGTAAAGCGAACCCCACCTCCCATTTTTTTCAATGAAAAGATCAACAGGTGTTCTGGTTACCTTGACTATATAAATTTTGGGAATGTGGATTATATTACCAATTTTCCAGTGGGAATTGCCTTCTATGTTGAGAGCTAACATTCTAAACTGTATTATGTGAGAACTTTATCCAAAACCATGAATACCTCTTTTACATGGGTGATACCATCTTTTGGATGTATATTTGTGTTGGCTATAACATAACCTTTTATTAGATTACTTCAAGTGAAATTTTTTCATAAACATTGGCTTTATTCCACATAATACAGAAAACATTCTCAGAATAACAATACCTGTACTACCTCTGACATGAGTACTTAACAATGTTAATAGTTCTTATATAGGCTCTCATTAAGTTCTGTGTGTAAAGTTGTCTCATCACAAATTTTTACATTGATGTCTTTCCTATCATATTGGAAGTGAAAAACTCAGTCTCCAGTAAACTCAAAGGAAAGAGCTCATGGAAATGATATTCCTTGAATTCTTGCATGTTATTAACAGTTTATGGTCTTTTCATTGAAAGCCAGCTTTGCTGCATGTAAAATGTCTGCATCGTGATTGGTTCTTTTTTTAAAATATGTATTTTTAATGATTTCAGAGAGGAGGGGACAGGAAGAGAGTTAGAAACATCAATGAGAGAATCATTGGTTGGTTCATAGGTCAGTGCTCAACCACTGAGCCATGCTGGCTGGGTGGTTCTTTTTCTTTTATATCCTTATTGTAGTTCAGCATTTTTTTTTATGGCATAAGGTTTTCCTGTCTCAAGTGAACTTTTAAAGACAACTTATTTTTAGTGATAACAAACATTTGTGAGTATGAGGTCATATCCCCAGAAATAATTACAAAATCTATGTTAAATGTCTTTGTTGCTTTTTAAAACTGATTTGTCTGGTCATTTAAAGCTGATGTGTCTTCCCCAAACTGCTTCATTATAAAATAATTGAACAAATTATTAATATCACAAATAGATTAAAAAGTAGCTTTAAAACTATTTTTTGATTGCCAACAAAATCAATTCTGGACTAAATGAAATCATTACGTCTTAAGTAAAGTAGAGCCACATCTACTGCCCTCATTTATATTACTACTGAAGGCCAGTGCACGAATTCGTGCACCAGTGGGGTCCCTTGGCCTGGCCTGCGGGATCGGGCCGAAACCGACTCTCCAACATCCCCTGAGGGGTCCTGGATTGCGAGAGAGTGCAGGCCAGCCTGAGGGACCCCACCAGTGCACGATCGGGACCGGGGAGGGACTGTGGGAGGGCTCTAGGGCATGTCTGGCCCATCTCACTCAGTCCCAATAGGGCAGACCCCAGCAGCAAGCTAATGTACCAGTTGGAGCAGTGCACGTCATAGCGACTGGTCGACTCTCTGCCCCCTGGTGGTCAGTGCACATCATAGCCAGTGGTTGAATGGCCTTAGCATATCATTAACATATTACACTTGGATTGGTTGAACGGTTGACCAGACACTTAGCATGTTAGGCTTTTATTATATAGGATAGATTAAGTTTAGTATACTGTTCTAAATCTACCACCATGGTAACTAGCAAGCAGAAAAAATTTATTCTCTGACCAGAGAAATAAATGGCAGGGGGCACAAACTGCATGGTTATCTGTAACTGTCACAGGTTATTATGGTAGCTAGTCATTTCAGTGCTAATCAAGATTTTTTAAAAACTTAATTGCCTACATGTTAAGAGAATAAAACACTTGTTTTCTATTTAAAGTTTTTAATGCTTTTTATGTCTGCAAACCAGTAACTTCGTATAAAAAATAATTCCAATGGAATCTACCTATTAATAACTGGCTAGAATTTAAAGTAATTTAATTGGGGTGTTTACTTCAGAAATTTAGTTTAGCCGGAACCGGTTTGGCTCAGTGGATGGAGCGTCGGCCTGCGGACTGAAAGGTCCCCAGTTCGATTCCGGTCAAGGGCATGCACCTGGGTTGCGGGCACATCCCCAGTGGGAGGTGTGCAGGAGGCAGCTGATCGATATTTCTCTCTCATCGATGTTTCTAACTCTCTATCTCTCTCCCTTCCTCTCTGTAAAAAATCAATAAAATATATTTAAAAAAAAAAAAATTTAGTTTAAATATGTTATAAATATATATTAGAAAAATGTTGCCCTGACTGGCTTGGCTCAGTGGATAGTGCGTCGGCCTGCGGACTGAAGGGTCCCAGGTTCAATTCTGGTCAAGGGTAAAAAAAAGAAAAATGTTAAAAATCCTTCCTCCTCCAACCCCCAGAAGACTACTTTGTTACATGTTGGTTGGGAGGATTGGTGTTTCTCACATATGGTTCACACATTGATGTTTCTCTCTCCCTTTATGTCATAGGGTAAGAATTTTTAAAAAAGAAACAAAAAAACTTTTTTTTTTCCCCATTTCATTTAGTTTGGATGCTCTCCCAAGAGTCACATGTCCAAACCATCCAGATTCGATTTTAGTGGAGGACTACAGAGCTGGTGATATGATCTGTCCTGAATGTGGCCTGGTTGTAGGTAAGCAGTTATTATGGTTTTAACTAATATCACTATTTTGGATACTTTGTCTTTTTTGTGTTTTCCAAACTGTCTTTTAGTGAATACATTTTGACTGTTTAAGTAATTCATATTTAATTCATAATTATCATGAAACACTCAAAAAGAATTAGAAAAAAAACACACAAGTAAGTAAAATCATTCAGAGATATCATATTTTATTGTCAGTTCAAAGGCATATGTTTTATTTTTATTTTTTTGCAGAATTTAGAAAGGTTTTAATTGGGAATATAAGGAATGTCTTGCTAAGCATGTGGACAATATTTGTCCTGATTTTTTTTATTTTGCAGTACTATTTTTCTGTCTCCCAAATTACAATCAGGTCTGTATTGCTTTAGTTTTTGTAGTTTCATGCAGAATACAAAAGATAGGGGAAAATATCTAGATATTTATCAAGATAAAAAAATGATAACTTTATTCATAGTTCTTTTTATTTGGATATGATAACGTGCTCCTCACCAGGCATCCATACATTAGTGAAGCCAACATATTACTGTGAAGCCTTGACAAATATCAGAAAACGAATATGAATACAAATGTAAATAAAATATTTGAAACTATGTGGGGAAGTATACCACTGGCAATTAGAGAATCGGGATGGTGGGTAAGTGAGAGAGAAACTCCAGTGTGCAAGTTACTGCCCTTGCCTATGGGAATGAAAATAGAATTGAAGGGATTATTGTCAGAAAATTAAATGAGTTATCATGTATAAAGTAAGTAAAACAGTGCCCGCCATATAGAAAGCTCTTTATATGTAACTACCATGTTGCCTGAGAACTGGGTTATTTTGGAGGAGTTCCTCTCTGCTGCTAAACTCAAGAACCCACATACCAGTCCCCCCCCCCTTTTTTAAATAATTTTTTATTATATATGTCCCTTTTTCTCCCCATAGACCCTCTTCAGCCCCCCCTGGACCTTCAGCACCCTATTGTCAGTGTCCATGAGTTATGCACATATGCATATAAGTTCTTTGGTTGGTTACCTCCCACCCACCCACCCTCCCCTGCCTTCCCTCTGAGATTCCACACTCTGTTCCATGCTTCCATGTCTCTGGATCCACTCCGTTCATCAGTTTATTTTGTTACTTAGATTCCACATATGAGTGTGATCATGTGATACTTGTCTTTCTCTGACTGACTTACCTCAATTAGCATGATATTCTCCAGGTCCCTCCATGCTGTCTCAAAGGGTAAGAGATTCTTCTTTTTGCATAGAATTCCATGATATAAATGGTACCATAGCTTTTTTATCCACTCATCTACTGATGGGCACTTGGGCTGTTTCCAGATCCTAGCTATTGTAAATTGTGCTGCTATGAACATAGGGATGCATGCATTCTTTCTGATTGGTGCTTCGGGGTTTTTAAGATATATTCCTAGAAGTAGGATCACTGGGTCAAATGGCAGTTCCATATTTAATTTTTTGAGGAAACTCCATACTGTTTTCCATAATGGTTGCACAGGTTTGCATTCCCAACAGCAGTGCACGAGGGTTCCCTTTTCTCCACATCTTCGCCAGCACTTGTTTGTTGATTTGTTGATGGTAGCCATTCTGACAGGTGTGAGATGGTACCTCATTGTCATTTTGATTTGCATCTCTCTGATGATTAGTGACTTCAAGCATTTTTTCATATGTCTCTTGGCCATCTGTATGTCCTCTTTGGAGAAGTGTCTACTAGTATTTAGGTCCTTTGCCCATTTTTGATTGGATTGTTTGTCTTCCTTTTGTCAGTTGTATGAGTTCCTTATATATTTTGGATACTAACCCTTTATCAGATGTATCATTGCCAAATATGTTCTCCCCTACAGTGGGCTGCCTATTCGTTATGTTGATGGTTTCTTTTGCTGTGTAGAGCTTTTTAGTTTGATGTAGTCCCATTTGTTTATTTTCTCCTTAGTTTCCTTTGGCTTAGGAGATGTATCAGTAAACATATTGCTACAAGACCTGTCTGAGATTTTGCTGCCTATGGTTTCTTCTAGAATTTTTATGGTTCCACGTCTTATATTTAAGTCCTTTATCCATTTTGAGTTTATTATTGTGTATGGTGTAAGTTGGTGATCTAGTTTCATTTTTTTTGCATGTATCCAATTTTCCCAACACCATTTATTGAAGAGACTATCTTGATTCCATTGTATGCTCTTGCCTCCTTTGTCAAATATTAATTGAGCATAATGGCCTGGGTTGAGTTCTGGGTTCTCTGTTCTGTTCCATTGATCTATATGCCTGTTCTTGTGTCAGTACCAGGCTGTTATGATTATGGTGGCTTTGTAGTATAACTTGAAATCTGGTATTGTGATTCCTCCAACTTTGTTTTTCTTTTTTAGAATTGCTGCAGCTACTCGGGGTCTTTTTTGATTCCATATAAATTTTTGGAGTATTTGATCTAACTCTGAAATATGTTGTTAGTATTTTAATAGGGATTGCATAGAATCTGTAGATTGCTTTGGGTAGTATGGACACTTTAATGATGTTGATTCTACCAATCCAAGAACAAGGTACAATCTTCCACTTTTTTGTATCTTTTTCTATCTCTTTTTTCAACATCCTGAAGTTTTCCCAGATGCATATGTTTTATAATGTTGGATAGGAGGGAACATCAATTTGAGAGTTAATAATAAAAAAAAAGGCCCCCAGTTTCCTGAGTTCTTAGTCTTAAATATTTGATGGGGCATTGAGGATGGCAGGATTACACCCATGTAATATAACTTTTGTGGCTTTTAAATGTCATTTATTTCGGAGCATAAAAGTGTATCTGTGTTGAATCTTATCCAAGGCAAAAAAGATTTGTTGTAATTTTCATTTCCTATGGAATGATTTATTTATGTTTTTCTGGTGTAAAATAGTCATTGCTAAAAATATTTCTTAAAATTTCACTTTTATTTCTTTGCTCACTAATCTAGAAATGCTCCAAAACTTTAGAATAGAAATGATCTACTTAAAAATTATTCTGCCGAGCCAATGTGGCTTGGTTGGTTGAGTGTTGTTCCATGCACCAGGAGGTTGCGAGTTTGATTTCAGGTCAGGATACATGCCCGGGTTGGGAGCTCAATCCTCAGTAGGGGGAAAGCAGGAGGCAGCTGATTGATGTTTCTCTCTCATCCATGCTTCTATCTCTCCTTCTCCCTTTCTCTCTCTGAAATCAATAAAAACATTTAAATATATAAAAGACTAATATGCATATTGTCCCTGGGGGAGTTCAACCCTAAGACTGATCACTCACTGTGACGTGCGCTAACCATCAGGGGGCGGCCTGGAATGAAGGACGTCCCCGGCCGGCAGCCGGCAGCCAGGGAAGGGCGGCCCCGGCCGGCAACTGGAAGGCCCCGATTGGCCCTGATCGCCGGTCAGGCCTAGGGACCCTACCCGTGCATGAATTTCATGCCCCGGGCCTCTAGTATTTTTATAAAAAGTATTCTGGTGGTAGTGTTGCAGCCATGCCTTAGTAGTTTGAAAATGCTAGGATTGTGGGAAGTATAACAGATACATTGATGTTGATGTACTGTGGATGTGTTTACTGGAGGACATCTGTAATATTCATTTAAGTAGTTGCTTTCCTCAGATCTCCAGTGGGAATTTTAAATCATACAGAGCTGCTAATAAGAATTGAAATCCATTTGCATTATATTATGCTCAGTAAGAAATATTTTTAACAGCTAGTTCACTTTACAGTAGACATTGTTCTAAATGATTTACATATTCACTCAGTTTAACCTCAGAGAAATATGTGAGGTGAGTGCTCACATTATCTTCATTTTGGAGGTTAGGAAACTGAAGTTTAGGTAATCTGGCAGTCTTGCTCCTCTGTCTGCATGGGAGCCAAATTTCTATCCTACATAATAAAATGAGTTCAATTGGAGATTGGCACACTATGACCCACTGCCTGTTTTCACATGGCCTGTATGCTAAGAATGGCTTTTACATTTTTTAAACGGTTGAAAAAAATCAAGAGAATAATATTTTGGGGCACATGAAAATAATAAAATTCTTATTTTAGTGTCCATAAGTAAAGTTTTATTGGAGCACAGCCATAATCATTTGTTTACATATTGACTATTGCTCCTTTCTTAATACAACAGCAGAATTTAGTAGTTGCAACAGAAACCATATATGTTGCTCTCATCACTTTGTACTGCTGCTCAGTGCACTACAAATCCCAGTTGATAGTTAAAATCCCACAGCATTTTTAAGTAACAAGCATACCTCCATACTGCAACATTTTATTTATTTGTTTTGTTATCATTGCATACTCATTATGTCAAAACAAACAAAAAACAATGAACTTGAATGTCATGCTTTTAAGGCCCAGTGTAGTATGAGTTATTTTGTTATTGAATTAGATGGTGAAGCATTGTGTTTATTATGCTATGATATTTTAGCTGTGCTAAAAGAATGCAATAAACATTTAGATTACCAGACAAAACACTGTCACAGTACTCCCAACTGAGGAACACAATGGTCAGAAGATTTAGAAAATGTAAAGTGGAATACCTCATCACAGCAGAATTTCACAAAAATAAAAGAATGAAAATAAGGCTGCAGCTAAAGTTTCTGAGTGGCTCATTTGTAGGCCAAGCAGGGAAAGCCGTTTACCAATGCTGAGTTAATTAATTTATGTGTGATTGCAACAGCTGAAGAAATGTGTCCAGAGAAAAACTTATTAAGACTGTTAGCCTTTCAGTAAGAACAGTTGTTTGAAGAGTTGAGGACATCAATACTCAAAATATAAGGCAAATTATTTCAACTATTTTTCCTAGACTCTTGATGACTAGACAGATGTTACTGATGTTGAGTTGTTTATTCAAGGAGTCAGTGCAGAGTTTGCAGAGTTTGAAACTGCATGAAACATCCATAGGAGAAAATACTTTCAAAGATGTTGCAAGAGTATTGATTCAGTACAATGTGAAGTGGAATATGTTAAAAAGTATTATAACTTATTAGTGGCCTGGTGCACAAAATTCGTG